GTTTAAGCCAACCAGGCTGTGGTATTTGTTAGGGTAGCACCAGAGAACTAATACAGCGTGGATATCAATGCCATGTCCATCCCTACTGAGAAGCTCTGTTCCAGACTCTCTTGAATTCTTAACAACTGTAACCGCAATGGGAAACCCCAACTCTGAGTCACCAGAGAATATCATGCAAACCTCAATTGCTGTAAAATCATACTCTACATTTATTTGGGCCTCGGATAACATTTTCTCTATCCTTTGCTTATCCTTTAGTTTCTTTAATCTTCCCAATCCAGTCCTTAGCCTTACTCAATTCTGGCTGATCACCATAAGCACTATTATATAAGGAATATTAGGATGCCATTTATATGCCTATGTCATCCTTCCTCTAAACTTCAATTTTTACTTTTCCTTCACAGTTTTTTTTTAATGCCTCCTTCTACACCAGAGAAAGAGATGTTCTTTTTATTTTCAAGGCAATACCCTCTATCCACTTTAGATCCTACCTTCATCTGACCTCTGCACCCGCTCCCCAGCATTTTCATCTTATCTCCCATGCCCTCCTTTTCTCTGCCATCAAAAATACATAAGTCAAAAAGCAGAAAATTGACTTTCAGTAGCTTGGTTTTTGGTGACTGATAAATTGGCTTCTTTCCAACATTTCTATCAGTAAGAGAGAAAAAAAAAATGACACTGAAAGAAGTTCCCTGGAGTCACCGGAATAAAAGAGCAAGGCAGTGGATATAAATTTAGAATTCATCGTTGGAGAGGTGATAGTTCGCTTGCTTATTCATTCATGTCAATCTATTTTTATCTTAAGCACCAACTCTGTGCCTGGTTCTGTTAGTTTGTATAAATGGATAGATGAACTATCACCTTGGTGCTAATGCCTCTTAAATAGACATTTTCTTTGTTTTCCTACCTTAGTAAGCTAAGAGGGCATTTGTCAGGGTCAACTACTGGTTAATGAATAAATGAATGAACGACACTGGTCTTTTCTTCAAGGGGCTGAAGTCATGAAAATAGGTGAGCTCTATAGAAGTTAGGATAGAGAAAAATGCTCAAATATAGGAATTTAGTATTGGAACTAGCAAGGGAAAGAGAAGGAAGAACTAATGAAGGACACAACAAAAGAACATTGTAACAATGGAGAGAAAAAGATGATAAGGTGCTTCAAAACTACCTAAAGGAACTGTCCAAACCGTGTTTTCACTGGATCCACTCTGAACAGATTTAGTCAGAAACTCGGTATGGCCCCGGGATCTGCACTGTTAAGCTCATACAGGTGATGCTTCTGCACATTCTAAAGTCATGAAAAACAAGAGAGTCCAAGAAAAGGTGGGCAACAATGAAAAACTGTAGAAATATAAGCACTGAAAAACCTGGGAAATGTAAGATTCTCCCTGAATGTGAAAAAATCCAGCTGATTTTCTTACTATTAGCATAAAACGATAGCGAGGTAAGCCCATACCAGGGATGGTGGGGCAGAAACTTGTGAGCGTGGATCCTTGATGGCTGTGTTGGGCAGCTGAATCCGTCATACCATCACCTACCTCTGGACTTCTAATGTGAGAATAATAAACCCCTATTCATCAAAGTGAAGTAAGTAAAGTGAAAAAGTACAGTTTAATTTGCAGTACATTTATTTAGTAGTAAGGGATAAAGAATGAATGCTTATGAGTACCAATGACAACATTTATTGGGCATTGACTATGCATAAGCATTCTGTTAAGAGCTTTGTATAAATATCTCACCAAGACCTCACAACAGCGCAGTGATACACCATAACTCACCACTATTAATGGAAAAATAAATGAGCTCCTCATATGGAGGTAAAGAATATCAAAGGTAGTAAATATATGTTTCATGGCTAATGAAAGGATAGGAATATAATGGATGTGGTGAACTTGTTAATTGCCAGGTACTTTTCCGGACATTTCTCCTGCCCATCTTCTTTTGCATTAATTTAAATCCTATATGTCTTTTGTGGCACAAGTCAAGTCTAAATCCTCTTTTAGGAAAACCTCCTTAACATTTAAGTATGAGCTTTCCCTTTCTTGATCTTTGGGAACTTAAATTTAGGACCACACTCTATGACCTAGATTATATAATATTTGGGGTAGAAAAAATGCCTTATAACTAGAAGAGTACAGGGTGTTGAATAACTCCTGTCAAATGATGACAACTAACCATTTTGCATTTTTCACCTATAAAAATTTTCCATTATGTGACTTGAAAATGCTCATTTTAGGCTTACCCGAAGTCATACTTTGTTTAACTCAGCAAACGTAATTAATTTGTTACTAATAGATAAGAGTTCTCTGTGGTTTTCAGCTAAGTAATATTTCTCTCGACATCTTTCTCTGGTGATCCAGGTTAATGGAAACTGGAGAAATACAACTACTTTTTATGAAGCATTTAATATTTCTTCTTTCCTGCCTCTTTATATGTGTCAATTCTCTCCAGCATTTTGCAATGCTCAGAACTAATACATTCATATATGTATAAACTGGAGAAATTATGTGCTTTTAAATACATGCTGCTGTTGATAAATATTTTGTCCTACTGCTAGATGCTTGTGACAGAATTCTTGGGGATAAAGATCTTAATGTTTCCTTTTACTCATAATTACATTAAAGATTTTAGAAAACCGTCTCTATGAATTATACATGATTAATTCATGTTGATTCAATTGACATATCAGAAAATAATCAATAGTTTAGATTTGCTCCACTAAATGGAATATACTTTAATAGTTTGCAAAATATACTATTTTGAAAACATGGCCTATCTTCAAATCATGTTAATATCCCAAATAGTGACTTGCCATAGGATTTAAATACCTTTATAAATTTTGCATTGTAACTAAAAAAAAAAGATACTCAGATATTCAAAGTGTATTAAAAGAACTTTGTAAAAGTATTCAACAAAAATTGCATTATTTTATTGTTATTATGCACTGATATATCTTTAGTTCAGTTAAATCCATGGGACAAGTGAGGTCCAAGATTAGAGAATATGGCTATATCTTATACAGAAGCATCTTTGAATTCAATTAGTTCCCTTTTAGGAAGTGCTAATTAAGCAATATCTTTTTGATTTTTACATTGAGAATTATGTCACTAAGGTGGTCTCGGTAATGAACCTTTCGGAGATAAAAATGAATTTCCTTATGTAATGTGTACAGTTATTTCCGTATTGTTTTCAGGCTCTTTTGCTATTTGAAGAATGAAAATATAAAAACCAAGTTACACAGTACAATCGTCTTGACTATGACAGTGAAAGTATATCAGTGTGTATGACTCACATTTCATTAAAATGCATATAAATATGTTCTAGGATATATATGTATATAATCTCCATAAATGAAAACTCTTTGGAAATCACATCTTAAAATGAAGATGCTGAGTAATTTTTCATGACCACAACACTTGAAAAGCATATATTTTATTATTTGGAATTGGAACAAACCCACAAAATGAACACATTCTAGTTTAATCTATTATCCATTTTGCTAGTGTACTGTACCGATGATTCATATATTACTTTGTCAAATTCTTGATTAAAGTAGGATACATAATTCAATTTTCTATTACGACTTCCTTGGAGGAAAATTTGGACAAAAGCCAATGATTCTTAAATTTCTCTAAGCCGTTTTGAAAAGTTAATCTATTCTTCTGTTACGAAGTCTTGAAATAGTGTCAGGAAGGGCTAGTCTACCACACCAACCAATTCCTTAACAGTGATTAAAGAAAGGAAGAACTGTGTCATTTTGCCCAAGGGCTAATTTTGCATGTCGAGGGCACAGCTCAAAAGATAATGTCTAACCTGGCAAGATACATAAATTGATGGAAAAAACCCCCATCTTTAACAGGGTTAACCTGGAGTTTTTTGCTTATGACACTTTTTATGTATTTTGTTTCTAAGCCTTTATAATATTTCAAAATAAATGCTACCAGAGAGTGAACACACGTAAGAAAGTCTTCTGCATCGCCTGTATGCTTTTAAGAAGACGTTACAAATATTACATTTTCCAGTCCTGGAGTTAAGGGAGGTGACTCTTCAGATTTTATCTCTTTGTTTTGATTAAGTGATACTGAAAATTGCACTTATAAGTTTCCTGAAAGAGCGTCGATGGTTAATTCAAATAGAGGCGATTGGAGGAAGATGGGACACGCTGTCTAAGGCAAGATACGAATCTTTACATCCATGTGTGCATGTTTGTGAAGGAAGGAAAAGCCATTTTATTCTCTAAGTAGATGTCTCTACAGGTAGTTTCTTTTTTATTAACTTGCAAAATCTCTCTTAGTTTGGAGCAAAGCAAGTTACCTTTTAGCATCTAAATCCCGCACATTACCCCGTGTTTTTTCATTTTTCACCCACACGAAAGAAGGGTGCAGTGTCGAGATGCTACAAAGTGAACTAAAAGAGCCAACGGCTGGGTACAGGGAGAAAAGGCAAACCCAAAAGGAAAACATGGGGGTTTTAAGCCCGGATCCTAAGGCACGCCAGCGTTAACCCCTTGGGCGCTGCAGCGGGGATCCCCGGTGTCTCGGGCCCGACGGACAGGAACACTGGCGCCCCGCCCCCGTCGGGGTGGGGGGGGGCTCTCCTTCTCAAGGAGGGAGCAAGCTGAGGCATTTCTGTAGTTCGGAGCGTGCGTCACGACCTGGGACAGGCAGCGAGTCCAGTACGCAGTGGAACAGAGACGCGGCGAGGAGCCGCTCAAATGTACGCTGGCGCGCGGTCAGCCTGAACCTGTCCTCGCCAGGGGCGCTCGCCCTCGCCCGCCCGCCCGCTGGCCCGGCTCCCAGGCTCTGGAGGGGCGCAGGCCTGAGGATGGTTCCGGCGAGGCCTCAGGTGAAGAGTGCCCGCGTCCCACTGCGGCACTCACCGCTGTCCTGCCTGCACACTCGCGGTACCCTCGCGGCCCCGCGCCCAAACAGCAGCTGTGAGTGACGGAGTCACCGCCCCGCGCGCCCAAGCCACCCCCTCCTCCCCCGCCGCCCCTCCCCCGCCCCGATACGTCATGGAAACACGGACGTCAGAGATCCTCAGCCAATCGCAGGCAGCAGCAGGAGGAAAGGAGCGAACGGGAGGGGGCGGGGGCAGCGGAGAACCGAGGCTCTCGGGGAAGGAAGAGAGGGAGGGGCGAGGGGAGCCGTGAGTCCCCCGCCCCTCACTCCGGACACCCTTTCCCGACCCGGCGGCAAGTTCTAATCGCCGGTCGCGCGCTCGCCAGCCGGGGACGCGCTCGCCGGGTCCTCCCCTTAAACGCCCTCTCCACGGCGCTCGGGTCCTAGTCCCTGTCCCAGCCGCGCTTCCTCCGCGCGCGCGCGCGCTTGCCCGCCCCCAGGCTCCCCGCGGGCTGCGTCACGTGACCGCGCCCAGCCAAGGCGGCAGCAGCGGCGGCGCGAGCTTCGGCGGCGGCGGCGGCGGCAGTGGCAGCGGGAGCAGCTGCGCCGCCAGCGTGGAGCGGGAGGCGTGTGGGTGTGGAAAGAAGGGAGCGCCAGACCGGAACGGGTGAGCGTTCACCTCCCCCTGCCTGCCCGGGCAATCTTGCTGGCCACCCGGTGCAAACGGGCCCCCTGCCCAGAAGCTTTGCGCATCTCCCTCGTGCTCGGCCGTCCGCCCTCGGGTGGCCGCGGCCCCGCCCGGAGCGGACAGGGCTGCGGTGCTCACGAAAGGGGCTGCACCCCGCCCGCCGCTGCTGTTGCGGACGGCGGCGTGAGGCTGGCGGAGCTGCCCGTGCTGAGCGCGGCGCGCCCTGTGTGCGGCTCTGCGGAGCCGAGGAGGCGGGTCCTGCGGGGACGCGGGCGGCCACTCGGCGGGTGCCGGGCTCTGGGCGGGGGCCGGGCTGGGCGCCGCCTCCTCCGCCGCCGCCTCCTCGCAGTGCAGCGTGAGTAGGGAGCCCCGGCTGGTAGACGCTGAGCCTCTGGGCTCCGCGGTCGCCTCATCCTCGAGGTGTAGCCGCACCTCCGCGTGGCGCCCCGAGCCCCGCGAGTCGGCTGCGGACGAGCAGAAGACCGAGCCCCCATTCTCCGTGCTTCCCGCTGCCCCCAACCGCTCCCTCCCACCCCCCGACCCTCCCGCAGCCTCCCCTGCCCCCCCCCCTCGGAAAATGGTTCCTGCTGCCGGGCGAGGTGAGTGGCGGCTGCCGCCCGCCCGCGGCGGTGGTGGCGGGTCAGGTCACCTGCGGGGGAGGCCGGGCGGAACGCCGAGGTCTGGGTGTAGCGGCGGGGGTCCTGACCGCTGGGCGCTCAGCGGACTGCGGCGCAGTCCCGAGAAGTTGGCGCGGGCGTTCGGGGCGCCCCTCGCAGGTTGTCTCCTGCCGCGCCCGCCCTGGGAGATCGGAAAGGTGAGCGGGTTCCTCGGCGTGCGCCTCAGCGCCGGGTCCGGCCAGGAGTCCCCGCCCAGAGCCCGAGGGACGGGGCTCCGTGGGGCTTCGTGTCTACACCCGCTGCTCTTCGGCTTCTTCCAGCCGCCTCGGCCGAGCCATAGCCCATCCTGCTGCTGGCCGCCCCCGCCCCGGCGTGTGGTGACCTTGAGGGCAGCGGTGCCCGGCACTCTTTCCCCGCGCCCCGGGAGGGTCACCCTCTAATCCCCTACTGGCCCTTCGCTGGCTGAGGGCGGGGGCCCCTCGTCGGCCCCTCGCTGGGGCTGGTTGAGTGATGCGTTGTCACACTGGACGGTGATTCCTCGGGAGTTAGCCGCCTCGCTTCTCTCCTGGTGTCTCCTGCCTGGCCCCCCCAGGATGTTCACGGCTGCTTCCGATTCAGATTTTTGGACTTAGTTGAAAAGGAAAAAATAACAACAACAACCAAAAAACCCGTGCGTCCTCCACTCCCTCTTTGGAAAGGGTCAGTAGAAGGAACCGCATTATAGTTGCGGGGGCGGAGGGTGTGCTCCCTTTATCCCATCCTGCTGGAGAATCCTTGTGGTAAGCTAGTTAGCGACCCCTGGTTCTGCGCCGCGGTCACTAGCTAGGTTGGACTCCGTGCGCATTTCATTCACCAGTTTTCTGCGGGACTCGCCGCGCTGGGAGTGCTCTCATCCTGCGCTGTGCAGCGGTGCTGGGCGCCGAGCGCGGGGGAGGGGGGCAGGGGGTCCTGAGGGACGTTCGCGGGGGGGGTGTCTCTGAATCTGGGGAGGGCTGGACCCTACTCCACACACGTATTTTTACCCTTCCCTGGGGTTAGAGCGCAGCCAGCAGTCACCTTCGGCTGTTATGCATGCTACTTTCTGGGTTTATTAATAATCTAATGGCTCGTTGGTTGGTATCGATTGCTGTTCATGATGAATTAGTTATATGGGTGTTTTTTTCGTATGTGTATAGTTATATGCATATGTCTGGACTGTCTTACAACATGGAAGCCTTTGTTGTGTTTAACCTCCCCCACCTGGGGACAATCTTATTTTAAAATAAAGCTCTTGCTCAACGTGGGTGTATTTTATAATAGAAGTACTTTTAAGGATCTGCTTTGTACGAGGCTGTCCTCGAGCAGAGGGTGTGTAACCCTTTGGATGGTGGCCCACGTGAGTCAGTAAAGGGCCTTCACCGCCTGCCCTGCTGCCAGCCTTCTCCAGAATCCCTGTCCTCGCGTGTGGTAGAGGCGGATTGGGGGAATTAGAGGGATTGGAGGAGAATCTGCTTTTTGTACTTGTGCGTTTCGTTTGGGCAGCCCCCCCTTTTTTGTTCTTTTCCATCATGATGCGTTCAAATTTGAAGTAAATAGAAACGTTTTTCTTACAAGGAATCTTTATAAAAACTAGTGTGTGAAATGGGCTTATTTAACCATGATTTCAGGGGGGCGTTTTAGTTTCTACCTTGCTTTGGATGAGACAGTTAAATTGCTGTAATTAAGGGTGGAACTCTGTCCTGATTTTGGTTTGGGTGTAACTGCAAAGATCTTTGAAAAGTAACTGTTATTTCCTACCATATAGTCTGCAAAAGTGAGTCACAATCGGGTGAGTTGAGGACAGAGCGCCACCTTTAATTTAAAATTTCGTGATTTTTTTTTTTTTTTTATTAAAATGGTGAAAATTCAGAGTATGCCTTCTTGATTTTTATGGCAGCGGCTATCATTAGGACATCCCCATTTAGATGCATAAGGTGAAATTGTCTGTTTTTCTGCATTAGTGGGGGATTCCTGCAATTATGTGGGAAGTCTTGGTTTTTTTAATTGAAGCTTGAGATTTAATGTAGAATTCTGAGATGAGGTGAGAAACTAGTTTTGATTTGTGCTTATATGATCATAGTAGTAATGATAGTCTGGAAAAGAAATAAGGAAATAGCTGCATTGTAAATAGATATTTAAACCTACCTATTGCCACCAAATCGAGGTACCTACCAGCGTGATAGTGGTTTTACAGTTTCTTTTGAGCTTTTTTGCTATTAACAGATTCTGCGGGGAACATCCAAAATATCTGTAAAATTATTAACCTTGAGTAAGGTTATAGTAATCTTTTTGCTTTTCATTTTCCAACAGCCTGCCTTTTATGGCTTTCCTGCGAGTTTTATAATTACTTGTTTTTAAATGATACAAATTTGAGGACTTCCAGCAGGAGTACATACATTCAAAGTTACTGAAGACCATGTTGGGAAAAGTGGTTTCTATATATGGCTCCTCTCAAATGTAGTTTCATACAAAAATAAATGGAGTTTTTAATGCTTAGAAAATAAAGGCTGTAGCTGACAGCTGAATTGGTGAGATTTCCTTCCCTGGCCACTTGCTCCCTTCTGTCCCCCTTTCTCCCAAATAAAAAATTTAAGGTACATTATCTCTTTAGGCACAGGATACTTTCTGATAATTGTGACTACGGATATAGCATGAAGAAACAAAAATTTTAGCTCTCAAGGAATGAATGTGTCCAAGTTACCAAATACAATTTTCATTACTGACCACAAGATATTATTGCCCTTCTATCTGCGTTTAAGTTTTAATTGAACACTTAAGATTTCTTCATAGATCACTATGCAGCATAAGCTATTAAGTTATAGATGTTGTATTAAGTTAAAATCGAATTACAAATTTGCTTGAGATGAAGAGTGGCTTATACTTTTTCAGTCTGTGGAATATGGCCCCATGTTCAGGACATTATTTGAGCAGTTAGGTTGATGTATGCAGAGTAATTATACACAGTTGTGCATAATTTGATAGAAACTGTGATTTGTGGGTTAAATGCCTTTGTTAGATATGTTTAACTTCATTTTGAAAGAAACAGTCTTTTATCATGGGAACTGAGTTGTATAGCTAAACAGGTTTTAAGAAGAATGGCCCATTACAACTATCATTTTTTTCTGTACTAACAACAAAAGTGTTTGCCCCCTTTTTTCGTACTTTGTTACATATACAAGCAGTTGAAATTGGTTGTTTTCACTTTTTTATTCTTGAATTTTGTAATGAATGAGCAAAACAATAAAGGAATAAAAATATCAGGAAGCAGAAACTTTTTAAAATTTTGCACCTTGATTAAGACCTTACTTGTCCAGTTGGAAGGAAATACTATTTTCTAGAAGGTAAGGTGATTAAATAAAAGGGTACCACGAGTAGCTTATTTTAGAATATATAGAATCTTTGGTAACATTGAAGGCAAATGATTCAGTGGTTATGAGAAAAATTTTTTTAAAGATAAAAAAACTTTAAAAGATTTATTTTTTAGCGTTTACAAATGTTTTACATAAACATACACATACACTTGCTTTGTTAAAAATTTTTATTATGGAAATTGAGAGAATAGTATACTTAGTGACTAGTTTTGACAGTTATCAATTGGTGGCCCATCTAATTTCATTTCTGTCTTTATGCATGAAATATGTCATTTATAAATGGGGACATTGGTCAGGTAACTGAAATGAATTCATGTGTATTTTATTTGTAATTTACGGAATACACAATAATGCCTAATATGTAGTTGAAGCTGAAAGGTAATTTTTATGTTCTTCGTTGTTTCTATAATAGTCTGTTTTACAGCAGGCTCCTAAAGACAGTGTCTCTCAAATTTTGCTTGTTTAGTAATAATGCTTTTGTTTTATAAAGTTCTTTACAATATTTCAGAATATGTAACATACTGCCTTATTTGAGTCTCATAACAAGTAGACCTGTGAGATGAGTAAAAAGATAGTTGTACTTTCCCCCCATCCACCCCAGGTTAGTAAAAAGGATTTGTCTAGGCCCTAAGGTCACATAGCTAGCACTTAGATTAGCCAGAACTGGACCCTAGGTGCCTTCTTGCTTTTATTCCATTGCTCTTTCCATTATACATGTTTTTATGTGCATTTGTGAAAGTTACATAGGTTTATGAAAAATCGGTTTCTGACCAGAGTAAATTTAATACTCAGATACAGACAGGTTTGTTTATACTGTGTAAATGTAATCTATTGCTTATATTTGGCATAATGGAAATAGTTCATACCCTGATTTACTTATTAACAGATGAGTAAAATGAATTTGAATGCATATGAAACCTTATATTTTTAATATTGTGAATTGGATTATCTTTAAGTAAGGAATTTTGTTTGCAAAGACCTCTTGGTCTTTGAAATGATTAAGGTTGTCTTAAATCTTGTGTCAAAAATAAAGTGGCCTGTACTAAAAGTTTCTTCTTTCAATTTCGGCTCTAATTTTTTTAATGCACTTGTTTTTCTGCCAAACATATGTATTCCATAAATCTTTTTGAAATGTTAATTTGTAATGACATTTAGTTTCCAAAGTCCCCAAAGGAGGAGATTTTTAGTTCCTGAAATTCAAAAGCTTTCTATAAAGCTCACCAGGAAGGTAGTGGTTCTCCAGCATCCATGGGCCTGAGGATCACCTAGGGGAGTGACTGACAGGGCAGACCTCTGGCATTGCCCCTGCAGTCCCGATTCAGCAGATTTGGGGTGGGGCCCAGCAGGCCGCATTTGGAGAAACATCTTCAATTTATGACCAGGTTAAAATTATATGATGTGGTAGAGATGTAAAGATTTATTTCACTTTGTGCACAGAGTTAGTGCTTTCAAATAGTTTTGACTCTTGTACCCAGGCTTGATTTGTGA